ACTAGCTGCCAGGGTCACTCTGGAACAAAAGTTCTCCAACTAAGTGGGCACCCTAAGAAGTCATCTTCTCCCCCGCTATACTAGCTGCTGCCTGGGCTTCTAGGAAAGGCCATCCCCCCAGAAGCTGATGTCATTACACGTTTGGTGGACTCTGCTGAGGAACAGGAGTGGAGTGGAGGGCCTCCATGCTGATGGGCTGGGCAAGGGGAGGCTTTGCTGCTCAGAACTTGAAGTCAGACACTTCACACTTGGACCCTCGACAATTTGTTGCTGGGCATCTGTAGCAGCTTTCCAGAGATGCCACGCCATGGTTTACCCAGCGGTTAAGAGGCTGGGCTCAGTGATTTCACTGGGGCAAGAGGATGAGGTAATGGCACATACAGTAAACCTTCTGCTGTGTACCTAGAATAGTTCATGCTAACAATCATGGCACTCATGATGAAAACTGCCCTTCTAAGTCTGGACATAACTTGAGAGCTCTTTGAATGAGAGAAAAATGCCCAGGGATAGTGTGCTGGTATGCTGGCTAACAAGGTGAACCCCCTGGGCCCACTGGATTCAGAGTCCAGCACTGTGCTGGGCACACTGTGCTGTCCCTCAGACCCTCTGAGAAAACTCTCTCAGACCCTCCTGCTGTTTGGTACAAGAGCTGTACTAAGATACTCCTGGCTGCTACAGTCCAGACCCCAGGAGAAGAAAGCCTCGTGCAAAGCCCCTCAACACAGCTGGCTGGTGGCTGGCACCCTGCTTGCTCTCACCTGCGCTTCTTACCCACTCCACATCCATTGGTCTGTGTGGAGGATGCGGGACTGTGAAACTGGCTGCCCTAGCCCTGGCTTTGCTGTGATCTCAACACCAAGGTCCCTGCTTCTCACTTCCATCCTGCAGACACACTTCTCCTGAGCCCAGCCATGTCCCTAACCTCTCAGAATCTCTCCGGGGCTGCCATCCTGTGGGACTTTCGCCTGTGATCTCTAGGGACCACCTCCTCAAAGACCACGAACTTAACAGTCTTCCATGGGTAGGCAATTGCAGGAGGCTGAAGAATTTGGGGTCCACATTTCCATTTCCCTCTTGGCTGGATCTCCCAACGAGCTGTGTGGCTTTGACACTGCCAGGCAGCCTGTCTCTGTTGCTCTTACTGTGTGGTTCACGAGATTTAGGATTGATGAAGGAGATTTGAGAAAATCTGGCATGCAAAACTTTCCACGTGCTGAATGCCCTAAGAATTTGGCTGGTGGTGAGGGCCTCTGCATTCACAAAGCATCACAAAGCATCCACCCATCCATTCATCCTTCCAACAGGCAAATGCATTCAAGAGTCACGTGCCAGTTCCTACTCCCCTGCCTTCGAGCTCATCTGTTTCTCTGTGAGCACAGTGGCTGGAGCTTGACCAGCAGCTGCCTCAACTTGTTTTGCCCTGCAGTCACATTTCCTAGGCGGTTAATACTAGGCAAGGTCAGCATCAAAGGGTTGCCTGTCACAGTCCTGAGACTTTAGGGTCACAAAGTTTTTTTCCAGGCCATACCTTGGGTCAAGGACTTCCTCCTCTTCCATGGACAGTGGCTGGGCAGAGTTCACACCACTAGATGGCACCAACAGCAAGGACTCCACTCTGTCCATTCAGGGCCCCCTGGGGGTCATCACCCGAGGCTCCATCTCAGGAAGGGGCTCAGCTGCATGATAGCCCAGGACCCCCCAGGTAGTTGGCAAGGGGACTTGCTTCTGGGGATTTTAACTGGGAGAAGTCATCAGGCTAGCCAGGCACCCGGTGGGGATCAGAGCCCAGCCAGTTCAGCTCAAAGGGTCCTGACCTCCCCCAGACTCTGTGGAGTACTGTACTGTCCAGATGTACAACCAGAGAGGAGGGAGGCGGGGTGTCACTACTCAGGAATGGTCACAACATGCACCACCCAATAGCCCTCAGAGGAAGTAGTGCTGTGGCTATTCCATAGTTCCGGATGTTTAGCCATGGAAAAAAACCCACTTATGACTATCTCAGCTTCCCTGATTTTTTTTCCTTTTTTGTTATTGTTGATGTATGGGCCCTGCCTGGTGGTATTCCTGGGCTTTGTGGTATCAGGGACCACACACTTGGGACCGCTCACAGGCCAACATCAGTTCTGCTCTAGAATCAGCATGGTCTTTTCTGGGCTCTCAGATTTCATCAGAGTTGAAGGAAGAGGGAAGGAGGGGAGAGCCTCAGCATCAAGTGACACCAAAGCCAACTGCGGTCAACAGCCCGCATCCATCCATGTGCCAGGCGCTCACCACAGAGAGGAAGTAGCTCACGGTGCTGCTCTTAATGCAGTTCCATAGGACCTGGTGGTAACAGCTCTAACATCCTCTGGAAAAGACACAGAAGGCGTCTTGAAGGAAAGAGCCTTTTCCTGCTTCTGCCCAAAGCAACTACTGAGGGCCTGGAGGTGGGTCAGAGATAGTCAACAGGTAGTTATAAAACTCTGAGCCTCCTGGTCTCACAGATTGACAAGTATCATTCCAGTGTGTGTGTGTGTGTGTGTGAGAGAGAGAGAGAGAGAGAGAGAGAGAGAGAGAGAGAGAGAGAGAGAGAGAGAATTTCTGGTTTGTTTGTTGTATCACATTGTGTTTTTAAGGAAAAGCCAACAATGACAGGAGGACTAATGCCTCCCATATGGACACAAGTCCTGGCCTCCTCCTGGGAGCTTTGTCACTACCTCAGCCCCAACAAAACCTTCCTGAGCCTCATCACCCACTGACCAAGTCAGGGCTCCAGAGATGTTTCTCTGGGCTGTCCTATATCTCTTCTGTGTCTGGACAGAGAGCCTAGCAAGGAGGTGTGTCAGATTCCGTGGCACCTATAGGAAAGAGTGAATCGATGGTAGTCATAGCATGGGGTGGCTAGCTCGTATGCTTAGCCAACAGGTATCAGGTAGAGCACAGAGCAAGTGCAGGAAGAGCTGGGCTCACAGAAGGCCCCAGGTAGAACAGTCGCTCAGCGGGAGGTCCTCTAGGCTGTCACCTCAGTAGAGGTGCCCAGAGAACTGAGGAAGGAAGGAAGGAAGGTGTCTTGGTCACAGTGAACTACCATGTGGAATGGCAGAGTAGCCAGAATGAAGCCCTGAACCAAGTTTAGAGGTGAAAAAAAAAGCCTTTTTGACTTTCAAAGGCCCTTTACTTGTCAAATCAATATTTGCTGTCCTTACTATGTGCCAAATCCCACAACAAGATTCCAACTAATTCAGTACCTCCATCGGGACCCAGTCCCTGGCCTGCACACCCAGTGACAGAGGTTCAGAGAACTCAGTGCGCAGAGTTTCAGAGCCTCCTGCGTTCCCAGAGCACTGCTTGCCACCTGGCTTTGCCACAAATCACTCCTATTGAAGCTGTGGGTTCGCCAAGCACAGAGACAAGTTCCTTCTTGCCTAACTACACATCTCCCCGTCTCCCTCTCAGCTCACCTAAGACCCACTCACCTCTGTTTCCCTGAGATTAGCCATTTTAGATTCTGAGAGTGAAATCACACCATGTTTGTGTTTGGGGTTTCTCATATTTTACTTAGCAAGATGCCCTTGAGGTCCATCCATGTATTTATTTTTAATGGCAGAATAATTTCCATTTGGGGAGAAGGTGTGGTGTGTTTTTGTTTTCATCATGGGCACACCTGGTGGTGTCTGAGGAACTGTGTGGGGCCAGCTTCCAGCCCAGGTTGTCTACAGGCAAGGAATGCACTTTAACTCTTTCAATTCTACCACATATATTTTTAAAATTTTCTTGTGCAGGATTATTTTCTTTTAGAAAATAAATAACATGCATATAAAATTTACAAATTTATCTTCAAATGCCCATGCCTTCAGAACAACTCTGAACTCGTTCAGCAAATGGTTGCTGAGTGACAACATGATCCTTGAGCTGGCAAAACTCCTGGGTGAAGAAAAGTCAGCTGGGATGGGGGCTGTGGGTGTTGGGGCAGGATCTTTGGATCCACCCAAGATGTATCCCACTGAGTCTCACTTTCCTCTTTAATACCTGGAAGAAAGAATCTGAGTATCAGAGTACCAGAGTCTGCCACTAGAAAAATGAAATGCAGATTCAAGAATTCCATACTGTGAGGCTCCTGTGTTGGAGATAGAAGGACTATTCGGCCCAGCCAGCCCCTTTCTGACCCCAAAGAAGCCCTGACCCCACATCTGCAAGCCTCAGGCCAACCTTTGTGTGGGTGGGAGAAGGGCTGGACAGACTCCAGCCCACATTTCACACTCCTGCAAGTCTCATCCTCTGGGACTGCCCCATCCAGGGTCAAGAGTGAGGGTCCAATGGGGCAATAGTACAGTGGGTAGGGTGTGTGTCTTTCACGCGGCAGAACCGGGTTTGATCCCCGGCATCCCCTATGGTTCCCCAAGCACCACCAGAAGTAATCCCTGAGTACAGAGCCAGGAGTAACCCCTGTGCATCGCCGGGTGTGACCCCAAAAGCTAAATAAATAAATAAATAAGCAAGGGGCCACGCTAGAGGGTCAGAAGTGACCAGAAGGTGTTTGAGGGGCTTCAGAGACCAGCATACTAGTCCTGTATGCACGAAGCCTTGAGTTGTGCCCCCAGCATGGCAGATTCCTCCTCTATTAGCTGTGACCCTGAATGCCGGGATCCCCATCCCAAGAGTGCTCTGGAGCAGAAAGGTGGTATCTGGCTTAGCTACCTCAGAACATACGAGAAGAACATAATTTGATACAAACCTTGAGAACACCACAAAGATGGGAGTGATTTCAGGCATCTTGATCTTTGGAACCCCTCTGTGGAAGTTCCAAGCAGTGCTCAAGAGGTCCAGGGTTCTCTCATGCCAACTACAAGTTCAAGGTTAAATTCCGAAGGTCATGGTGCTGCTCAGATCCCATGGTGCTAGGGATTACTGGGTTCCCCCAGAGGTGTTCAGGGGGCTGAACACTGAACTGAACCCCCTGCACCATCTCTCTGGTCCCCGTCAGCCTCCTTTCATCTCTGTCATCATTCCTTCACCTACAGGTCCTCTCTCCAGCCCCAACAGCCATGGCCTTCACTCCTGCCCTGGGGGAGGACTCAGCCTCACGCCCTGAATTCTGCAAGTGGCCGTGTGAGTGTCCCCCGTCCCCACCCCGCTGCCCGCTGGGGGTCAGCCTTATCACCGACGGCTGTGAGTGCTGCAAGATGTGTGCCCAGCAGCTCGGAGACAACTGCACAGAGGCTGCTGTCTGCGACCCCCATCGGGGCCTCTACTGTGACTACAGTGGGGACCGCCCGAGGTACGCAATAGGAGTGTGTGCACGTAAGTGAGAGCTCCCAACCCTTGGCCAACCCACAGACCCCAGCCTGATCCTGGGGGCCCCAACCACAGACCCTCTTCTGAGCATTACTCCAACTTGTGATTTAAAGACAGATACTGGGAGCTTGCTCGGGAGTGAGGGAGTGCTGACATTTCTCTAGCCTCTGGAACCCAGTTTCCTGGTCTCTCCTTTGTCCTGGGAGGACCTTCATGGGTGAATCTCCAGGGACAGGAGGCCTCCAGGGTTCTTCTCTCCTGGTAGGACCCTTTTTCTGGGTACTCTTGGTTTCATTAGGCTCTTGGCATCCTTAAGTTCTTGTTTAATTAAATATATTTATTATTAAATATCTGTATCACTGTATCACTATCATCTGGTTGTTCATTGATTTACTTGAGCGGGCACCAGTAGCGTCTCCATTCGTCTCAGCCTTGAGATTTTTAGCAGCCTCTCCTTACTCGTCTTTCTCAACACAGCCATATTGGAGGCTCTTTCAGGATCAAGGGAATGAGACCCATTATTGTTACTGTTTTGGGCATATTGTATATGCCATGGTTAGCTTGCCAGGCTCTGCCATGTGGGCAGGATACTCTTGGTAGCTTGCCAGGCTCCGAGAGACATATATATATATATATATATATATATATATATATTCCTCTATGATTTGTTGCCTACTGTCTGACCCCCATCAAATTTGGTGTGGTAATTATGGAAAATGGGTAAGTAGTGTCTTATGATGTGTCACACGGCTCTGAAAGCCACAAATTAAATATCTACAGATGTAAATTAAATTGTTAAAAATAAAAACCTCCAGTAATCAAGAAAGAATAGCCCACAACCATTAACCAAACTTTCCTAACCCCTTCCCAATATTCCCTGAATCGTTAGTGATTTATATTTTTACACCTTCCTGCTTATGATTAGCACTATATAATTCATGTTTTCTGTTATATCTTGATGGACTTAAAATATAAGTTTCAGATAATATGTAATAATCTTATATGATACTGATATTTTAATGATGTTTTAATGCTTCTGTTAATTAGGTGGTATTTTAAAAGTTCACTTGAGTTGCCCCCATCCCAAGACCACTGTCATTTTAAGTTATACAATAATTTAGTGTTTACAGCAGCTTGAGGATAAATGCATTTTTGCTGTAGAATGTTTGCTGTACATGTTTGATTTTGTTTTTCCTGGGATTTCTAATTGCCTTTGATTTCTCTTTACTCTTGATCTTTTCTATGAGCCTTCTATTTGAAGGGAGGGCTCTTGTTGGTTTCTGTTTGTTTGTTTGTTCCATCATTTCCTTTTTTGTACCCTGAGTTTACCTTTCTGGGACTTTTTCATCTTCTGTTCTTCACTAGATTGGTATTCCCTTAGCTGCATCAAGAGACATGAACCAGAATGCTAAAGAGATAAAGAGTGACCACTCTCACACAGCACTCTCACTTCTGAAAAGTTACACAAAAACTCATAAACCTAAATCCACTCTCTTCCTTTAGTATTGAATTTAGCATTGCCCATAACTATGACCCCATCAACTACAGTACATCTTCACACACAGCTAAGTTGCTGATGTTCAGAGGACCCATTATGTTTTCAAATGTGGGTTGCTGAGGAATGTAAAGTACAGAATTTCAAGTCATTAAATCCACCTTAAGCTTCATAGTTAATTTATGAGCACTTCCAGTTCTTTTATCATTTGCTTGTTTTCATACCATCTCAGTTGTCTTTAGATTTTCAAGTAACCACCCTTGATTCTCCCATACTCCAACTTTTATTTTTTTACACAAACTCTTTACGAGCCCCACAAAACTGTGTTCAAAGATAACTTGCAACACCAACCAGCACAGGAGCATTTCAAGTGTCGGTTACGCATATTATTCCTCAGCTCCACCCTAAACTTAGTGAGTCAAATTTTCTGCATGTGGAGTTGGGAATCTTCAATTCCTTTAATTAGCTTCCCTTGATAGTCTCATTTGTACTCTCATCTGAGACTCACTGCTGATACAGACAGACACATGATCCCTGCCCATCCCCAGTAAGGCACTTTGGCTGAGCCTCCCTACACTGGACCCACCTTGTTTAAGTGCACTGTCTCCTCTTGTCATTCTCCCTTTACAGTTATTCTTTGAGGTCAGTAAAGAGGCAATTTGGTTCACCTTGATTATACTAATCTAAAAGTGTCTTGACATCATCATCATAAGCCAGACACCACACACTTATAAACGTTGTCTCCTGGACCTGGCTATTGCATAGATCCAAGAAATGCTTCTCCTGCCTTCCTTTTCCCCACCACCTTCTTTTTTTAAAAAAAGTAACAGTTTATTTGGAGTTCAGTGTACATAAGGATTTCCTGTCAAAAGAATCCTTTTTTTTATATTTTTTTAATTTTTTTGAACCAGTGTGAGATAGTTACAAACTTTCATGTTTGGGTTACAATCACACAATGATCAAACACCCATCCCTTCACCATTGAGCATTCCCCACCACCAATATCCCCAGTATACTCCCCCTTTCTCACCCACCCCCTGCCTCCATGATAGAAAATTTTCCCCATACTCTCTCTCTACTTTTGGGCATTGTTTTGCTATATAGCTACTGAGAGGCCATCATGTTTGGTCCTTTATCTACTTTCTGCACACATCTCCCATCTCGACCGATTCCTCCAGCTATCGTTTTCTTAGTGATCCCTTCTCTGTTCCAGCTGCCTTCTTCTCTTTGCTCATGAGGCAGACTTCCAGCTATGGAGCAATTTACCTGTCCCGTGTATCTACTATCCTTAGGTGTCAGCCTCATGTTATGTTGTTTTATACCCCACAAATGAGTGCAGTCCTTCTTTGTCTGTCCCTCTCTTTCTGACTCATTTCACTTAGCATGATACTCTCCATGTCTATCCATTTATAAGCAAAGTTCATGACTTCATCTCTCCTGACAGCTGCATAGTATTCCATTATGTAGATGTACCAAAGTTTCTTTAACCAGTCATCTGTTCTAGGGCACTTGGGTTGTTTCCAGATTTTGGCTATTGTGAACAGTGTTGCAATGAACATATAGGTACAGATGTCATTTCTACTGTGCTTTTTTTCATCGTTGGGATATATTCCCAGAAGTGGTATTGCGGGGTCCTATGGAAGATCAATTTCTAGTTTTTGAAAGACTGTCCATATTGTTTTCCAGAAAGGCTGGACCAGTGGGCATTCCACCATCAGTGGAAGAGTGTCCCTTTTTACCCACATCCACACCAGCACTGGTTGATTTTGTTCTTTTGAATGTGTGCCAGTCTCTGTGGTGTGAGGTATCTCATTGTTGTTTTGATTTGCATCTCCCTGATGGCTAGTGAGGTGGAACATTTTCTTTCCTTTGATTTAAAAATAAAACTTGGGTCCATCGGAGATTTTAATGAGTATTTCACGTGTCACGGTTCCTGGTCATATATATTTGCAGATTTTAGAATAAATTATTAAACAAATATTGCAAAACTTCTTGGGGGGTGTTTAAATTCTCTTATTCATTATAAATTCCAAAAGCATAGCCATTTTTGACCTTATCTCTTCAATGAACTACTTTATTCACACAGACTTTGAACCATTCTTTTCCCTACCACACCTGTATCTGGATACACACTCGTGGATAATACATATGGCATGCCTACATGTGCACACACATTTTCACAGATATATAAATCACAATAATACATGGCACATGCATGCAAACATACATACACACACGGAGCTCACTACTGTTCCACTGAACAGTTGCCCCAAATTCTACCATAGTTTCTGTTTTCATGAGAGTTCAATGTTGGAGGCCCTAGAAAGCACCTCAGTACCAGAAGGGAAAGAGATTCAACCAATCAATCAGAAGTTCTCAGGTTAGGTTACATTTCTTTTTGGGAAGGACAATGCACTAAGGCAGGACATGCCAAGTAATTAGAATTAGCAATTGCACCACTGTTGTTTACAAGTCAAAGGGAGTATGGTTTCACTATGGCAAGCTGGCAAGTGCAAGTTTTGACTAGTTTTGGCAGAAGTCATCCCACCTGGTTCCTTTCAGTAGGGCCAGGCAGAAATTTGAACTTGGTTTGATCCAGTCTGCTCAGTGTTCATGAGAATTCAGGCTTGTGTGTGATTTGGCCACATGTTCCAAAGGTTTTCTTTAAAATCACTCCATGAGCCAAATGAAACATCCCATGGGCACAGAATGATCTCTGAATTAGACTCTTTGGCTATTTCTGTTGTACAAACACAACTCTGCTTTTACTGCCACTGTGTCAAGCCCGAAGGCTGTGTGGCTTGGATTATCATAAAATTAATGAACTGACATGGGTTTTGAAATCTGGCCTTGACACTTACTACCATGACCTTAGGCACGTCATTTAAGGAGTATGATAAAATCAACCTCATGGTTCTTGCTAAGGTTAAACAAAAAGCATATTCAAATCTCAAGTGTTATTGACTCCTCTGTTTTATTTGTCTTGTTTCAACTTTCTTTTGCAGAGGTCAGCTTGATCTTGTCTGTTGTACTCTTCAGAAGAGCAGAGAGCTCTAGTTCCAGGCTCAGACTGCCCGGTTTGAATAATAAATGAATGCAAAAGCCCATGTAGAGTTTCAAGAACTAGAAGAGCTCAGTTCTGGACACCATGAACTAAGATAATAGATTTCAGAAAACTCTTTAGTCTTTTAAGTGTCAATTTCCTCATTGAAAAAAACACATGACAGATAATGCCTACTCCCTTTGCTGATTGAGATGTTGATTTCCTGATACATGACAGGATTCCAATAAAGATTAGGGTTCACCCCATCTCACATTCATCCTTCCATTGATTCATTTATCACTGATAAAACAACATGGGTTTATAGCAAGGCAGGAGCCACTGTCCCAGCTCCCAGGAAGCTGACAGCCCATCAGGAGTGTGTGAGAGAGATAGAAAGGCCCAGATAGCTGCACAAGGATCTGAAAAGCCTTTGAAAAGAACAAAGCTCACTCGACCCATGCAGATTTGCTGATCTAAGATGAGATCAGAGGGTGAAGGAAACTGAGTCACCTTCACCATTTAACCAGAAATAAATCCTTCTAATAGGTAAATGGGGCAGGCACTGGAATGAAACACAGCATCTATCGCCTGGTCTTCTTTCCAGCTGTGCACTGGCAGTTCAGAGCTAGCAACACCACCAATACTGGTCCTCCCCATGCTCCCAAAGCTTCCAAGAGATGGAGAGAACTTCAACACAGCGGTTATCATTTTTGGTTCAAGTTGGATTCACTGAGGAGCTTTCAAAATTACAGAGGATGAAAAATCTCAGCCCCACTCCCACCCTTATATTCTGAGGCCCAATATGGGTATTAGAATGCTGACAAGCCCCTCAGCTGGTACCATAGAACAAGTATTAAGGAGAACCAAGGTGGCTACAGTGAATGCCCAGATACCTTTACTGCCTTCACCATACAAAATTGCCACACACTGGGGTAGAGGCCTGGGCAGAGTCACAGTTCAATCTCCACCCCAAAATGAGGTGTGCATAGGAGCATGCATACACCCTGAAGCATGAGGGAGCAGTCGGGGTGACTCAGAAAACAAAAACCCTATGATTCATCCCATGCTTCCTCTGAGTTGGTGTTAGTTTTTGTTTTTTCCTATCTCCCTGACTTGACTGGTGTCTGGTGGAAGGAAATGGGCTGATTCCAGTTTCCGGGTCTGTTCTAGCAAATTTCACCAGCTGGGTGGTCTTGAACTCGTGAATCACTTGACCTCCCTGAGCTTTCCTGTCTGCCAAAGGAAGAACACCAGGCTCTCCTGGGGCAGTCAGTGAGAAAACCAAGTAAGAGAGTCCATCAGTGCTAGCCTAGCCTGAGTTCTGATGGTCAGTAAGTGTCATCTCCTTTCCTTTTTCCCCCAACACAATCACTGCCTACGAAAAAACACAGTCTTCACCATCTGAGGCTCTGCTTCCTGTTGCATCCCCTATAGGGTCACCAAAGGCTCCTGACTTAACTAAGGTGGCAACATTAGCATTTCCCTCTGGAACACAAGCAGTCTTCACAACAGAGTCTGACACGGACCAGGTCAGGGGCCTATAATCAGACAGCCTGGGTATCCCTGTTACTGGGCCTGCTTGAGCAAATCGATGAACGGGAGGACAGTGACAGTGACAGTGACAGTGACCAAATCCAGGCAAATCTGGGAGATAGGGTGGAATGATCTGTTCCACTGCATGTTCCAAGCTTTTGGGTGGAACCTTGGCTGTACCAGGTCCTTTGCAGACCCCTTCCAACCTGACTCAGTCCCCAAGCATCAAAGGTGGGAATTCCCTGGTACATAAGCTGTCCCCTGTGTCTACTGCACTGTCAACCAGGCATCTCATGTCTCAGCAAGAACTCTTGAGTCCCCAGATCCAAATATGCTCCCCTGAGGACAGAAAACTTTCCTCACTCCAGGTTCTAGAAGCAGTTGGTGTGGTGCCTATATTTGACTTCTTTCCTCACATCCCAGACCTCTGCAAATCCTGCATCTCTTCCTTCCAACTGCACCCAGAAATTTGAGTTCCTGCCCCCAATAGTTCACCAAAAGCATTTTTGCTGCAAGAAGTTTCACAACATCACTAATTAACAGTGAAGGCAATTTCTCCATAAAAAAAGAAGTCTTGGCATCTTCAATTGTTTGTTTATTGCAGCACTCTTTACAATAGCCAGAATCTGGAAAAAACCTGAGTGCCCGAGAACAGATGACTGATTAAAGAAACTTTGGTACATTTACACAATGGAGTACTATGTAGCTGTTAGAAAAGATGAAGTCATGAAATTTACATACAAGTGGTACTACATGGAAAGTATCATGTTAAGCAAAATGACTCAGAAAGAAAGGGATAGACATAGAAAGATTGCATTCATCTGAGGAACATAAAGTAACAAAATAGGAGACTAACACCCAAGAATGGCCGAGATTAGTACCAGGAATTTTACTTCATGGCTTGGAGGCCAACCACACATGCTAGGGGAAAAGGGAGCTCAGATAGAGAAGGGAACACCAAATAAAGGTGTTGGGAGGATCCTCCCAGGATGGGAGAAGCATGCTGAAAGTAGACTATAGACCAAACATGATTGTCACCCATTGCCTCTTTTTCAAACCACAACACCCAATAAGAGAGGGAGAACAAAAGGGAATGCCCTGCCACAGAGGCAGGGTGGGATGGGGGCAATGGGGGGTGGGAGGTATACTAGGATCCATGTTGGTGAGAAATGGGCACTGGTGGAGGGATGGGTATTTGATCATTGTACAATTGAAACCGAAGCACAAAAATGTGTAAGTCTGCAACTGTACCTCATGATGTCTCACTAATAAAAATTTAAAAAAAAATTTTAAAAAATTATTCCCCTATAAAAAATTTTAAAAAAAGAAGTCTTGGGCAGACAGTCGTTTTCACATATTCATTGGTGAATCAGTCAATCACATTAAATCAATCTTTTAAATAGACTAAATTTTATTATATATGCATATTTAGCACAGCGGGTAGGGTGATTGCCTTGCACGCAGCCAACATGGCCGACCCGAGTTCTATTCCTCCGCCCCTCTCGGAGAGCCCGGCAAGCTACCGAGAGTATTCGATAAGCCAGACACAGCAACAACAAAGTCTCCAATGGAGATGTTACTGGGTCCGCTCGAGCAAATCGATGATCAACGGGAGGGCCTTTACTTTACTTACTTTACTTTACTTTATCCATATTTAATTATATACATTTACTTAAAGCATTTAATGTGTTAAAGCCCATTTCAAGCTTCGTTTCAGAGCTTCACTAACAAAAGCCCAGCACTTGGCAAACTAACCTTGTCATTTTCTAGTACACTAGTTGGCACTCTGACAGTGTTACTCTGATTCCTATGCCCATAAGTTTGCTCACCACAAAATACAGCCCCTGTCCCCCAAAGGGACTGATGAAAATCTTGGAAGAAACGTTCTTAAGTATAATCCATAAAAGAAAGCAAGTTCTTCATGCAGGAGTGAATCTACACAAATTCTTTAAGGCACTGGAATAGTTTGCATTTTAATTTTGCGATTGTTTTTCAAGTTTCATGATGTCAGCTAGAATGTCCCTTTAGGGCAAAATTGCCTTATGGTTAATTAGTTATGCAGCGAGAATGTTTGCAGCCAAGTTGCTGGCTGTGAAAGACCCTAGAACTCATCCTCCATGGCTCCATATCTCTCTGTGGTCCAAACTCAACTCCTCACTTATCTGGATTACTGGGATTGACCCTTCGGTTCTCCATCCTCAACTCATCATCTGTGAAGCACAGTTCACATCATTCGTGGAATGAGTTTAGAGCAACTACTGTGTGCTGGTCAGCTGGTTCTGATGACTTTGTCTTCCCTTTTGAGCCTGCAAGGGATCCCCCTCCTCTGTTTCCCTACAACCTCGTCCTACAACCTCATCCCTATACATCCACTGCACCATTTCTCCCCCACCTTCTGAAAAGCACCATTTCCTCAGAGAGAACTTGCTGCCTCTTTCCATCTCTGATTGCCCCACTCCCTTCCTCCCTTTTCCTTCTCTGTTCTTCCAGTCATGAGCCCTCACCAGTGTTTTATGTGATCTGTTTTATCTTTCCTCTGTGCCTTCACCGTATTATGAAGGCATGGCATTTGCCTATTTCCTATTGAATCCCCAGTACTTAGAACTCTCCCTAAATAAGCACCAAATTAGTGAATGGAATTTATGTTTCAGAGCTCTGGATGTTGGCTGGCCTGTCTGCAGCAAAACAGCCAAGAAGCAGATAAGGATTGGTTTAGGCTTTGTGCCACTTTGGGACCAGGTCAGGACATTAGTCTCATACCACACTGACTCAGGGGTGGGAGATAAAGCTAGAGGTGCCCTCTGGCACTCCCAGCGCACGAATCCCACCACACCAACCCAATAGTGAGTCTGGGTGGGCTCACCACGATCCCTCTGCCCTGCCCTCATTCTGGCCTTGCCCTTCCCCTCGGGAGGGTGAGGCATGATTCCTGGACGCGGTCCTGGTGGAGGCTGAGGCTGACCCGGTTCCGCCTGTGTTTCTGTTTTTGCAGAGGTGGTCGGAGTAGGCTGCCTCCTGGACGGCATGCGCTACAGCAACGGGGAGACTTTTCAGCCCAACTGCAAGTACAATTGCACGTGCGTGGATGGTGCGGTGGGTTGCACGCCGCTGTGCCTCCGGGAGCGCCCTCCACGCCTTTGGTGCCGGCGGCCCAGGAGGGTGAAGGTGCCAGGTCAATGTTGTGAGCAGTGGGTGTGTGACGACGAGGCCACGAGGCTACGCAAGACGGCACCACGCCACACCGGGGCTGCCTTTGGTGGGTGCTGGGGGCTAGGGGTAGAGGCAGGGGAGGGGGCGTGGCGGAGAGGGGTGGGTCAACAGTCCTGGGCACAAACAGTTCTACACCTCTGTCCACCTGTCTTGACACAAGCCAGAGTCCCTTTCCCCTCTCCTGGTTCAGCTACAAGCCCTAGAGGAAGCTGCCTCTCCTGCTCAGCCTATTTCTCTCTCTAGCCTGGAACGATCACCGTTGGTCTTGGCCATCCTATGGGCTCCTCCCAACATAGAGTGAGGAAATGATTTGCAAAGAACAAAGCCAGATGGAGGATTTGTTACCATCCTACATATTAGGTGAGGGTGTGGAGGAAAGGGCAGGGTGGGGCTGGGTCCTGGAAGAAGAAGCAGAAGCTACACGTGCAAGAGTGGGAGAGGAAGCAAAAAACTTCCCCTCACTGTGAGAATCGGTACATGAGGTATCAGGAAAGCTATGTCACAGGAAGCAGGGACAGGGAAGTTTGTTTCAGTAATTAAAAAAAAAAATTAACCCTATGCCTACCCTCTGTTAATTTTACAGTAACGCCCAGGGGTTCTCTCTCTCTCTCTCTCTCTCTCTCTCTCTCTCTCTCTCTCTCTCTCACACACACACACACACACACACACATCTCTGATGTGCACATAGTTTTGGTTATGGTGGTGGTTGACTCTCTGGGGTCACATATCACATCAGTGCTCACACCTGAGACCTGAAAAATGCCTCCAAGAGGCTGGACAGACACATGAGAAGAAGGACACCAATACTCAGGAGGGGGCTGTTGTGTAAGATCACACAGCTTGTCAGGGGTGGAGCAGGATTTGAACACAGACCTACCTGTTCCTAGAGTCTCTCTATCCTCCACCCTTTCTTGCTGCTTAGATGGAGCTCAGCATAACTTCCCCTACCTAGGGATGTATGGTGATTAGATGCCCACAACGAGGAAGGACCGCCCACCTCTTACCTGAATTTCAGGGACCCCTGACCCTTAAAGTGATGAGGATGGAGAGGTGGGAGCCTCACACTAGATCTGGTCTCCATCCACAGCTGCCACAGGGGAGATGGAGCCATGGCACAGGAACTGTATCGCCTACACGAGTCCCTGGAGCCCGTGTTCCACCAGCTGTGGCCTGGGCATCTCCACTCGGATCTCCAATGCCAATGCCCAGTGCTGGCCTGAGCAGGAGAGTCGCCTCTGCAACCTGCGGCCTTGCGAGGTGGACATCCGTCTTCACATCAAGGTGGGTTCACTTCCCAGGGCAGGGTGGGGAAGCCAGCCTGGGTCAGGACATGGCTATGAACTATGCTCCTGATCTCCCCTGCTACAGGCCATAATGAAGCTGGCATCCAAAGAGATATTTAAATAAAGTGGGTTGATGAGTGTGTGACTTCCACTCAGTAGAAGCCAATGTGGCTACCACATTTTTAGAATCAAGGTCACTTGGAGAGAGCCTTGGGGTCTCTCCCAGGATATTTATAAGGGACCCTTACTGACTACCATTCTCTTGTTGCTCCATCCTGCCCACATCCACATATACCAGTGTGGCAATCTAATTCAGTGACATGGCATATTAAAAAAGACTTTAGATAGCTTCAGAGATTGCTTCACTGCTGCCAACTGCATGTATTGTGGCTTATCTCTTCCCTTCTCAGAGTCTCATTCAGCTAACCCATAAAGTATTAGAGTTGATCACAGGCACAGCTTCCATCTTGGAGAGTCTAAGCTAATTAAAGGACTGAGGTTGTAGTGAGCCACTATAGACTGACATTCAGTGTATAGAATTAAATATAGCTCAGACTCCAGGCTAAATTCAAGGTTCCTTGACTTATGTCTTAGGTCAGTCTTAGGACTTGTGTCACATTAAAAGAGAGAGAGAGAGAGAGAGAGAGAGAGAGAGAGAGAGAGAGAGAGAGAGAGAGAGAGAGAGAGCGAGCTCAGAACTAATTCCATGTATGCAGCTTGATGCTTTTTCAGGAATTCTTAGGGGAAGATTGTCTAGGAGAAAAGTCTCCTCACAATATCCTCTAGGTATTAAACATTACTTCCTGCTGACCCTGGGAAAATGCCTGAGCCAGTTCTATGTCCATCAACACCATCCTTCCAAAAATTCCTTCTCCTTGTCATCTTCCTCTCTGATTATTTCCTCCTGACATAATAGCCTACATATTCTTGATGCTTGATGCACAGCAGATGCTCAGGAGACTTGAAAACAGAAAACATGGGCGGAAAAAGTTACCAGCAACAGGAAAAATCAAACCAAAGTCCTAAATTTGGTGAATATGTTGGTAGGGGCTGGAGTGATAGCACAGCAGGTAGAGCATTTGCCTTGCATGTGGATGACCCAGGTTCCATTCCTCCACCCCTCTTGGAGAGCCCAGCAAGCTACATGATGTATTCAATATGCCAAAAACAGTAACAAGTCTCACGATTTGTTGTGAGACAGTACTGGTGCCCGCTCAAGCTAATCGATGAACAACAGGAGGACAGTGACAATGACAGTGACCCCTGGTGGAGGTGGATTTGCCTCCAATTAATGCAAGGTCCTTGCTGTAACTGCATGATTCCCACACAATTTTACTTCCATAATTATGTGCCCTGCATGGCCTCTTCAAATGATGCAAAATTAAAGCCCACAGAGTCTGCACTTGCCCTCAGCTCTGTCAGAATGCTGGTACACAGTAATAGATCTGATCTTAGTACTGTTAATTCTGAGTTTAGTAAGTTGTACCATGCATTCACAGAATTAGGTAGGACAGACCAGGGAGAGCCACAGTCTCATGCACCCCATAGTTTAATGGCAAGTCAGTGCTGGCTTTAAATAATAAAAATCCAGTGGAATATGTTGTGTGTTAAGGCTATGCAAGGCTGTGAGATAAAAAGGTGGGGAAGGTTAGGATAAAGCGTACCCACCATCATGGATCTACTATTAATTACTTGAGAGTGATGGAATGAATGAATGAACTATAAAGGTGTCCCATGTTGATGAGATGGTGACAAAAGACTGAGCATAGACAATATAGAAATATAAATGGAAAGGGAAATTGAGGGTATGTGATACCACCCACACAAGGCCATCCCCACCTGTGGTCCTAAGTTTGGCTCTAATGCTGCATGCCCAGTTCTATATTTGCAAAGATTTGTTTTGCTTTGAAAATGCCGTAAATATTAAAGTTGGTGGTGGCTTCCACCAGGTGAATGAGAAGGGAAGAGTGAGGCTTGAAGGGAGGAAGGTGGTGGTTCATTCTTTGAGTATCCCACTGCAATATCTTTCTCCACAGGAAGGGAAGAAGTGTTTGGCCGTGTACCAACCTGAAGTGCCCATGAACTTTACCCTTGCTGGCTGTATCAGCACACGCTCCTACCGGCCCAAATACTGTGGAGTCTGCACAGACAACAGATGCTGCATACCCTACAAGTCCAAGACTATTAACGTTGCTTTCCAGTGTTCTGATGGGCCTGGCTTCTCCCGCCAAGTGCTCTGGATTAATGCTTGTTTCTGCAACCTGAGCTGTAGAAATCCCAACGATATCTTTGCTGACTTGGAACCCTACCCTGACTTGTCAGAAATCGCCAATTAGACAGACAAAAAAATTGGAAATGGAGTCCAGGCCCAACTTTTGTGCACATGCCCTCTTATCTTGTTCATTTAACACTCATCTGATGATCCTGAAATGGACCCTTGACCCCTTTTTCTTGTTTTGACCACCAAGTTATTTAGAATGAATGAGGCCCAGATGAGGGGGTTGGAAGGGTGAGGAGGTTCTCTCCCAGTCAGCATTCTACAAAAATACTCCCAAAAAGTGCTTACTTCTAGCTTTCCTGAATGTTACCCACCTCATGTAGAGTCCAGAAAGCCCAACTGGTTCTCACCCAAGGCCCAAGGAACAGAATCAGCTAGACCCTCAATACTACTAATCCCCCCTTTAGATGCAAAACCTTTGGGGTCATTCAGTAGAATAATAAGGATTTTGGACAGTGAAACAATCTATTTTTTGGACCTTGCGAAGTGGCACTTGGATTGATGGTTTTGACCACAGCACACCAGAGAGTGTCTCTTATTTCCAAAGATTTATATACCCCAAGGTCTCCAAGTATTTGCCAAATAACAATGGTTGCTTTATTTTGATTATTAATAGAAAATTGTGTCAGTAATCAAAGCACCAATGAGGTTAAATTTCTATTTATTTTTATACTGTGAAGGGTACAAGTTGACTTTATCCCAGCGAGAAATACTATTTGATCAAACTTAGTCTTGTTCAAGTCAGTAGTCCAGAATAGAGTCAGGTGGGACAATTTTGAGAAGGAATAATTGACCATATAACTGAATCTGCTGCTAAATGATATGTATGGGGCAAATAGCTTGACTTTCCCTTGAGTTCAGATCCTCTCCTGCTTAGGGGTTCAGGGGAATTGGTAGGACTTCCAGGATGGCCTTCACATCCCTGAAAATGATATCTGAGAAATTCTTTCGCTCTTGGAGCCTTGGTAAGCTTTACTGAACTGAAATGAGCATGATGAATCCACATCATATGTGGGTCAAACCAAGAAATTTGTCTACTCTACATCTTCTTGTGGTGTCCAGAGACATTTAGTACAGGACATATCTCTGTTTTACGTGCCCTAGTGACCCACTTCCCAGAGGGAGTTTCTGTTGGCCCAAAAGGTTTTTCAGAGACAGAAGTTTACCAGTTATTTTTAAATAGAGGTATGCTTGACAGGGATTAAAGTTGAAAGAAAAAGGGAAGATTGTAACTAATGGAAACAAGGCTATTATTTATTTTGTTGGAGAATATGAATATTTGCTGTTATAATTATTTTATCTAGTGCTTCTTCTATGCCAAATATTGTCCTCAGTGCCTTAGAAGCACAAGTTTATTGAAATCAGGCCATCACCTTGAAAGCAACCCTTTAGTATTTCTGTTCTTACTGAGGTGAATGAAATTTCAGAAAGGGAAAGAGATTCCACCAGCATCACTAAGCTGGTGAATGAAAGAGCTGGGATTTACATCCAAGTTGTACTGGCTTTATAATTCATATGTTTCCTTTCTAGTTTCAGAGTATCTAGATATGTTGGAGGAGGAAAACATGTTGGAATAAGCACCTGCTTGTGTTTTCTGCTTGAATCAGCTTTTACATACCCTTTTTCACAGAAAAAGAGAAAAGGATCTTGAGTTCAGATCATGCAGGTTCTGGAACAACTATATATATATATATATATATATATATATATATATGAGCTAATTCATGCATCCCCTGCATATTATGTGTTCTTAAAATCAGAAGAGGCTCTTACCAGACATTTAGAGGTGATTCTGTTTACCAATGCTGCAGATTGAATGATTGATTATTTATTAAGTGAATTCTGAATTGCCTTCATAGGGATTTCTAGATAAAAAAAATTAGGGTTGTAATATGCCTACCTTACTGTGAACCCTGAAAACCTCATCAATACAAGGCATATAGTGATGCTCAGTGAAAGATACTGAATCAAGGAGAGATTATCTCTGTGTTTCTATTCTAATTCAGAAGTTTCCTTCTTTCCTACTCATTGACTAATTTGCATCAGCCAAATTTTATTTTTAAGTGCTATAAGAAAAATATATTTATGAAACTTTGTATTACTGAGACTGGAGATTTAGGCACTTGTCTTCACACAGATATTCCTCGTTATACTCCCAATACCACATGTGATTCACCAAGCACTGCCAGGAGTGATTCCTGAGCACAGAGCCAGCAGTAAGCCTTGACAACACAACTGGGTGTGACCCAAACCCACTCCCACTCAAAATGGGAAGGAAACGTATATTGCTACTTAAAAAAAATATTGAGTGACGAGAACTACCCCATGAATAATCTTTTAGTAAGTCTTTAATAATTATGCTGGCTGTCCCAGGAGTAAACACATCTGCACTTTACAAGTTGTGAGGACAAGCTGAAAATTAACATTATCTGAAATTCAATAAAAGCCCCAGAACTAGGTTCTCAATATATTTGTCTCTCAAACTGGGAGACTGGTTGTTGCTTTCTGTATGATGTAAATGAATGCTGGTTGGAGAACTTGAGAATTATCATGGGTAAGGGTAGTCAGAATATCCCAAATAGTATTAGTTTTGAGAAATGAAGCTGTGTGATGCACAGTTCCTATATTCGAGACCCAAAGAGAAAGTCAGATCAATTCAGTAAATTTAGAGGAGCAGATATTTGGTCCCATGTAAGGAGACTCACTGTAGCTGTTAGAATCACTCTGCAGTGGTCCTACCCATTTTAATAAAAGTTAAGAATAATGAAAAAGTTCTTTTTCAAGTGATAATTTTATGTTGTGCATGTTTATCAAGTTTTTTTCTTAGTGCTTAGTAGCACTGTAGCACTGTCCTCCCATTGTTCATCAATTTGCTCGAGCAGGCCCAGTAACATCTCCATTGTGAGACTTGTTACTGTGTTTGGCATATCGAATATGTCACGGGTAGCTTGCCAGACTTTGCTGTGCAGGCGAGATACTCTCAGTAGCTTGCTGGGCTCTCCGAGAGGGGTAGAAGAATCAAACTCAGGTTGGCCAAGTCGGCCACGTGCAACGCAGATGCCCTATCCACTGTGCTACTGCTACAGCTTAGTGCTTATTATTATTTTTTAATTATCTCACAATTTTTCACAGCAAAGCTTAAAGACTTCTACTCCACTTTATAAGGAAAATAGGAGAAGCGAAGAAGTAGAGAAATTATCTCCCCAAAGTTATTGGAATTTGGGCTTCAATAGTTCAACTTATTCTCCTCTGCTCTCTTGGGGAGGCCTCCAGGAAGACTGACTCAATCCCTTTGGAATTACCTTCGCCTCAAGAGAGTGAGATAGAATGCGTGTAACAATCCCAACCTCAGTTTTGAGAAGATAAACTAAGGATTCATTAACCTTTTGTGGAAAAACAATCATATTGGTGTGTAGATTGGATTCATTTCCCTGGTATGGTTAGGTGTGAAAAAGAGGCAATGTGAATTCATCCAACCACTTTATCAAATGCATTTGGTGGGCACTTTCCAGGTATGAGGTCAAGGACTTTCCTGTCTTATCTCATATCATCCTTAGAGCACGCCTATACTATGATGCCTTCTTATCATCTCCCCATTTTTAATGAGAAAACCACTGAGGCTCTCAGATTGTAATTTATGCCACGTTGTACCAACTAGTGATCAGTAGAAGAGGCTCTGAAATCAAGGTTTCCCTACCATCTGCATCTTTGGATTCTAAGGTGGCCTAATCTGGCCTCCAAAATCAAGAGCTATCTTCTTGACAGGGGTTAACATTTGGCTTTTAGGATGATTCAGAGACTGATCAAAGAGTTGACTCTATTATGATTATCTATGATCTCATGCACGTTGTACTGTGTGCATTTAAAGACTGAGCTGAGGGAGGGCTCGTGGCACCTGCCACTATCATGTTGAATTGTATCACTGTTTTTTAAGGACTTATCTGGAGGCCAAGTCAGAGCAGTGATAATGGTCCTTGGAATTATAAGTAGTCAGGACAGTGTTTCTCTACATGTACTCATTGGTTGTGTCTGTGTACGTGTCTGCATATATCTGTTGTCGAACTGTGACTTCATATTTAAGTGTATCTATTGCCATTTTTCATAAATAACTAAAAATACATATAAAAATGTCTCTGAATTTCCCCATGAGAAGAAAATGGCACATGAGCAATCTATCATGCCTTAGTACAGTCCTCATTTTTTTCCTTATTTGCATAGCACAGGTTTTCATTCACTGTGAACGGTTTCATTGTTCAAATTCCCTGTTTACAGCATTTCTTCTTAAAGCAATAAATCATCATCAAAATGACTTCCTGGGTTTGGAGATTTTCTTGGATATTCAGTTATAATGAGGCAATGATGGAGTTTTGAGCACGCTCAATAAATATGCACAGATGGAGAATATTTTATTTCAGATGTGTTATCTATGGCACAAAACTAGTTGGAAAATTTGGAGATGCACTCAGAAATATGAGTTCTGGAATTCACAAAAGCACAGAGACATAAGTGTGTCTAAGCAGGAGGCAGGGATATCCCAAAGATCTGAGACACATGCTTTGCATGTGGGAGTCCCCAGTTTGATCCCCAGGTGTAGGGAGACGCCAAACACTGCTGGGTATGGCACCAGAAAACGAGATAAAAAGTGTCCGACATGAACTGTTTCTTGGGTAAATATAAAATGGTAAAAGTAAAGGCCCTCCCGTTGATCATTGATTTGCTCGAGCGGGCCCAGTAACGTCTCCATTGGAGGCTTTGTTGTTACTGTGTTTGGCATATCGAATACGTCACGGGGAGCTTGCCAGGCTCTGCTGTGCGGGCGAGATACTCTGGGTAGCTTGCCGGGCTCTCTGAGAGGGGCGGAGGAATCGAACTCGGGTCGGCCATGTTGGCTGCGTGCAAGGCAAACGCCCTACCGCTAATTTCAGTATTCAATTATTTATTCATTTATTTTTAGATTCCTGATATGACTGATGCCTTGAGTAAGGGATTATTGCACTCTCTGAGCATAACACAGGGCTTGGAACATGTTAAGGTCTGGGTAATGAGGGCTGGCTAACAGATGAATGGGAAA